CCAGACATGGGCGACGAGTTCCCCCACTCGGACACGGACTGCGGCCACTCGGCCGACCGCTCGGCCACCGACACTTTTGACCTGTCAGAGCTGACCACCACCGCCCTGTCGCTTGCCGGCGACAGCTTCGGCGGGCCGGACCTCGTTGCCACAGCCATGCCCGGCTTCGCCGTGGCCGATGACTCGCTGGTGGACGATTGGATGGCCGTCGGCCAGCCCGACGGTCACCCGGCCGCCGTGCCCCCCGGCCACACGCTACTCACGGTGTTCGCCTGCTTCGCCGGGAATGAGTGTGCCTCGGCCCGGCCGGCCTCCAACCATGGGCCGGCCCCGCCCAGCCCGCCGATCTCGCGCCCGGCCACGCGCCCCGTGTCCCAGCACTGTGCCGACCAGGAGGCAGCCCCGGCCCCGGCCCCGGCCCCGACCCCGGTCTCGGCCCCGCCCCCTGGTACCGGGCACATCCCCGTCTTCCGGAGCTCCATCACCCTGTGTGTGCCGGTGGAAAGCAACCTGGCCGACGTGCTGCGCCGGGCCTGCGCCGCCCTCTCCATCTGGGACGACCATAATTACTATCTGGTCGGGTCGACGCGCGAGCTGGCCCCAGGCAAGGGTGGCCCCGCCGGGCCGGCTCCCCTGCGCCCATGTGCCGCGCACACGCACTTCCCCGACTCCGTGGTTGTGGACGCCCTCTGCCTGAACTCCAACTGCGCGGAGATCCTGGCCGAGGCCTGCCCGGCCCCGGCCGCCAGTGACTTCCCCATCTTCTGTTGTGAGGTGGGCCCGGCACCGGGGTCGGCCGCGGCTGCGGCCATATTGGCGGCCTCCGGTGCCACGGCCGCCCTCACGACCACGACCACGGCCACGGCCACGGCCACGGTCGCCCCAATGCCTGGCCACCCTGCCGACACCGGCCCCGGTGGCTGGGATCAATCGCCGCCGCGGTCGCCCATCGAGGAGACCGGCTCCCCGCGGCCGTCGCCGGCGTCGCACATGCTGGGCCAACTGGCATCCAAGCGCTTTTCCGGGCCCTTTTCCGGGCTCGGCCGCAGTGGCGGGGGCCTCCCGGGCGTGGGTCCGGCCGCCGGGGGGTTTGGCTCTCGCCTGCCCCACCGCCACCATCGCCACCACCACCATCACCACCACCATCACCTGTCGACGCAGAGCTCCACCACCGGGCCCGCCGGGGCTGTCATCCCCTCGCCGCCGGTGTCCTCCTCCTCCTCTTCCTCCTGCTCGTCCAGCCACCCAGGGTCCTCGTCCTCGGACACGGCCAGCGATTCGGGATATCCCTCATCGCCGCGGCGCGGGCTCGGCTCCGACGCCGGGCCCCGGTGGTTCGACAGTGGAAGCCTCGGCCGCAGTCGCCGTGCCAAGGAGGCCCCCTACGAGGGCCCCGGTCTCCCGCCCTTCACCCGGGTGGCTGACCTTCAGACCGTGCGTTTCCCCTCTCCCTTGTAGCGGTCCTCTTCCGGGGGAGGGGGGCATCCCACCTCGCATCTGCGCGTGCCCTGCCGCACGCATCCACCTCCCCTGGTCCATGTTGTCCTAACTTCCACCCTCCCGCTGCCCCTCGCACGCACACGCACACGCACACGCACACGCACACGCACACGCACACGCACACGCACACGCACACACACACACACACACACACGCACGCGCACACGCCTCCACCCAGTCCAATCTCTGTCTCTTGCCGGACCTCTTCGCCACGCGCGACATCTTCACCATCCAGCTGGCCCGCGGCGAGTCCATGACCCCGGCCCTGCTGGCATCGCCCTTTGCCGCCGGGGGGATGACCACATCCTCCGACAGCACCGGGGCGCCGCCCGGGGCCGGACACATCTCCGACGGCAGTGCCAGCGACTCGCTCTCGCCCTCCTGGGCGGCCATCGGCCTCGGGGACGGCCTGACCAGTGCCAATGCCGGATTCCAATTCCAGCCGGCCGGTCACTCGAAGACCATGCCGGCCCCGACGGGCCCCGGCTCCGTGATAACCGCCATCACCACCCCCGGGCTGCCGGCCACCGTCACCAGCTCCAGCTCCACCTCCGAGGGCTCCTACCAAACGGGGCCCATCCCCTCCACCGACAGCGGGACATACGGCGGCTCGGAGGGCTCCTTCGCCGATGCCGAGGACATGGACCTCGAAAGCATGGACCTGGTGTCCTTCTCTTCGACCTGCTCCGGGTCGGACCGCATCCCCCCCCTGCCGGAGGTGGTCCCGGCCCCGGCCCCGGCCCCGGCTCCGGCCCCGGCCCCGGCCCCGGCCGGCCGGTCGAAGAAACTCCTACGCGGCTTCAAATCCACCATCAAGAGCCTCTCCACCATGGGACTGCAGGTGACCGGCGGCGGGGGCCCCCGGAGCCCGAGCCTGGCTACGGCCCCCGGCGGCGGGCCCGGCTCCTCGGACGCCTCCACCAGCGAGCCCGATGACGCGGGGCCCGGCTCGCCCCTGTCTCCGACGGCCACGATGGTGGCCTTCCGGGCCTCGTCGGCGGATGGCCCCGGCCCCGGGGCCGGGCCCAAGTCTCCCTGGCACTCGGCCGGGGCCCTGGGCGCCGCGCCGGTGCCGGCCAATGCGGCCATGCTCTCGCCTGCCTACCTCTCCTGCGAGGTGGCTTGCAATGCCGGGCTTGGGTCGTGCGATGCGCCGCACATCCATGGTCCCCATGCTGCCGGGTCTTCGCACATTCTTTCGCAATTCCTGACCCTGCCCTCGAGCAATGCCGCCTCCACCACCGGGGGCACATCCGCCGGGGCTCCGGGCCCGGCGGCCAGCCGTGCTCCCAGTGGGGCTCCCGGGCCGGCCCCCTTCCTCGGCAGCGCCGCCGGGCCTGCCAGCGCCTGCGGACCCAGCGCCGCCAGTGGCCTTGTGTCCTCCGCCTCGAGCATGTCCCTGTCGTCCATCTTCACCTCGGGGTCCTCCTCGGCCCCGGTGGCCGGGCTCTTTTCCTCATCTGCCTCCTCCTCCTCCTCCTCCTCCTCCTCCTCGTCATCCGACCATGATGGCCGCGGTGGGATCCTTTCTCCCGGATCCGGGTCCGGGTCCAGCACGCCCTTCCTCCGGGCGGACGTCATTTCCTCGGCCAATCGGTTCGTCACTCGGCCCAAGCACCTGCGCAAGGACAGTGTCTACTTGTCGGTCATCTTCTTCGACCGCCATATGAAGGTCTTGTCGCACAGCCAGTCCGGGCACCTGCCGTCGGTGGAGATCTGCCGGAACTACGGCCCACTGGAGGCCGACTCGGATGACTTCGTGTGGGCCTTCCAGCGGTCGCTGGACTACGAGAACACCGTGCACGACATGTGCACCTTCCGGCCAGACTCCTCGGCGCAGTACTCCTCGGCCTATCTGGTGCGTACTCCCTGCCACCCCCTCTCTCCTTTGGCTCTCTTTTAGCGAGTCGCTGTGGCAGTTGTGGCAGTTGTGGCAGCTGTGGCAGTTGTGGCAGTTGTGGCAGTTGTGGCTGCTGCCGCCACCGCTGTCACCGCTGCCACCGCCGCCACCGCCGCCACCGCCCCCACCGCCGCCACCACCGGCATAGACCGCGGTTGCTGCCTTTCTTGTTTTCATCCTTCCCTCGCCGGAGCTGACACTTCCCCTCCCCCCCCCCTCCCTCGATGCACCAGACCGACCCCTCTGTGGCGTCGTCCTCCTTCCGCCAGGGATTCCTCCGGGCCGTGGAGCATTTCCTCAGCTTCGACATTTCCATCTTCGGGTACATGTACGACGCGCCGCTGGTGGTCAGCGACCGACGCGTGACACACTTGATGGTCCTGCGCCCGGTGTCAGCCGCATCGCCCATCCGCTCGCGGCGGCTGGACTCCGTCATCCAGGGCAGCGACGTGCAGGAAATCAGCCAGCCGGCCCCGGCCCCGGGGCCCGGGGCTCCGGCCCCCGGGAAGCTCGGCCTCTCCTGGCGCCCGCTGTCGGATCTGATGCTTACCTACCCCGGCGGGCCGTCCTCCGACCACCTGTGGATCAATCTGCCGGCCATCGTGGCGGCCCGGCGCCCGGCCGTTCCGTTGCCCTGTCTGTCACGCTTCCTTTCGGAGGGCGCCGCCCGGGCGCGGTCCTTCACGCACATGGCCGCCGGCCCGGTGGTGACCGACACTTCCTCGGCCGCCGCCGATGAGGACGCCCTCATGCGCACTTCCAGCAGCGGGTGTCTCTTCATGCTGACCAGCAGCAGCTCCTCCGGGGACTTGGTGTCCACCGTGTCCGGGGAGCTGGGCCTGGCGCACCAGGCCGCCGCCTTCACCGAGCCGCGCAGCGATCTCTGCCCGCCGGCCGGTGGTGTGGCCCCCGGCGCCGGCGGCGCCTCCCTGCGCGGTGGTCCTCTCCTGGGGGCCGGCGGCGGTGGCGGCGGCGGCGGTCCTGGGTCCCTGTCGGGCCCCGGGCCGGCCACCAGCTGGGCCCTCTCGCCGGTGGTTCTGTCCCTGTCATGCTCGGCCAACTTGGACCAGGCCCGCTTGTGGGAGGCCTCCTCCTGGGCCGATGAGCGCCTGCTGTCGGCCGGGGCGGTGGCCGATGACCGGCCGCGCCGGCCGCGCAAGCTCGCCGCCCCGGTGGCCACCCCTGGGCTGTATGTGGCCGTGCTCCACATCGACAGCAGCCTCAACATCCAAATTGGCGTGCAAATGACCAATGGCTTCCTGCCGCCGATGGCGCGCGTGCGCGAGTCCGGCCTCCTGACCAACGCCGAGTGGGCCCTCATCCGGCGGTCCTGCGGCACCGACACACTGGCCGTGGACCCGGGGTCGGCGCATGCCGGCCTCCAGCGGCAGCTACTCCTGGCCCTGGACAGCCTCGAGGCCCAAACCGGCCTGCACCTCCTGCATCAGTTCCTGTTTACCGAGGAGCCGGTGCGCCTCGGCGGTCCCGGGTCCACGGCCACCGTGGTTCTCTTTGTCATGCCCATGAGCCAGGGCGGTCGTGGAGGAGGGGGCCCTGGCGGTGGTGGTGGCGCTGGCGGCCGCGGCGGCGGCCCCGGGTCCGGGTCCCTGCTGCCCCTCGGCGGTGGGCTCGGTGCCGGCCCCGGCGCCGATCACCACCTCGGTGCCAGTGGCAAGGGCTCCGGTCGCAAGTCCTCTCTCAAGCAGGTGCTCACCCGCTTTGGCGGCGGCGGCGGCGGCGGCGGCGGCGGCAACAGCAATCGCCCCTCGCCCGGTAGCCTCTCCTCCGGCATCGCGGGCGATGACGATGGCAGCCTGGCCACCGGTGTGCCGCTGTCCGGCGGCGTGGGGCGCGGCTCCGGCCCGGGGTTCGGCTCTCTGCCGCCCTCCTCCGGGATCATCCTCAAGCCGCTGCTCCTGACCGACACCCTATACAAGCACATTTTCTTCCGGGCCCGGACGGCGGCCATGCGCCGGCGCACGCGCGACATCAGTGCCCGACTGGCCTACCTCCACCGGCTGGTGCCGCAGGTGGACGTGGAGCTGGACCTCCTGACGTCGGCCTCGACCCAGCTGATCTTCAGCCAGGCGGCTGCGGCGGCGGCCGCCGCCTCGGCAAGTGGCCCCCCGGACGGGGAGCCTGCCACCGTGGCGGCTCCCCCCCGGGCGGCCGGCAACCCCTTTGCCATGAGCATTGACTTCTTGCGGCAGCTGCGTGCGCGCCTGTTGGGGCTCATTTCGCACTTGGAGGCCCGGCGCGAGGCCGACCGGACCGGCTGGCGCCAGCTCGCCTGGTCCTTGAATGTCATCGAGTGGGAGCGGCAGCGCGCGTTCACCCGGCTGACGGTCGGCCTGCGCCATGATTACTCCCTCGGCGGCGGGTCGGCCGACCTGCCGCTGGTGGCTGGTCCCTCGCCGGGCAGCGGCCCGTTGACGCGGTCCCTGAGCACTTCCGGCGCGAGTCCGCTCTCCAATGGCACGCCCTTGTCCGGTGGCGGGGATGCCGGCGCCGGCGGTGCCGGCCTCCTCTCCGTGGACACGGCGGCCGCCCCGCGGGTGGGCAGCCTCTCCGGCGGCCGGACCTGGGTGTCGCCCTCGGTGCCCACCTCGCCGCAGCGTGGTGCTGCTGCCTGGTCGGGGACGGCCACCGCGCCGCGCTTCTCCCGGCCCCTGCCGCCGGCGCCGCCGGCCCCGGGGACCGTTCGCCTGCCGGGCAGCCTCAGTCCCAGCAGCGGGTTCTCCTCCGGCGGCGTCACCGGCAGCCCGGAGGACACCGAGGCGGTTCTGCAATCGGTCAGCGCCACCTTCGGCCTGCGCACGGGCGACCTGCCGCCGGGGGGTGACCGGGTGCACCTGTCGCCGGAGGCGGCCCTGTCGCACAGCTCCCTCGAGGGTGGGGGGGCTCTCTTCCGGTCGACCTCCGATGCGGGGTGCATCTCGGCCATTCCGCCGGCGGTCGCCGAGCCGGACGCCGGCCGGCTGTCACCGCTGCCCCAGTCCCCGCTCGAGGCGGAGGAGGGTGCCCAGTGTGGCGGCCGTGCGCCGCTTGCTCCGCGCCGCCCGGCCGGCAGCGCCCCCAGCCGCCTGCCCATGTCGCGGTCCGTGCCGTTGGAGATGCACCGGCTGTCCTTGCGTGAGCCATGCATCGCCGCCTCCGTTGGTGGTGCTGGTGCTGGCCCTGGGTCTGGCGTCATCGCATCCACCGGGGCAGGGGCTGGGCCCCTGCTGGGTGGCATGCCGGAGGAGGACGAGCAGGCGGACCAGTAATGGCAGCAGCTGTTGCTGCTCCCGCGGAACCACGGCCCCGGTCTCCTGGCCGCCGCCCCCCCCCCCCCTCCCGTTCACCACAGAGGGCAGCCGCTTGCGGCCGGGAGCATGTCCCCCTCCCACTGCGCCGGTGTGGGTGTTTCCCACGTGCCTCTGCGAACCACTGCCAGCCGCACCGCCGGCCGCGGAGAGAAAGGTCCCCGAGGGAGGAACGAAGAGGGAGCGCGTGCGCGTCTCTTCCCCCTCTCCCCTCTGCGCGCACGCGTGTTCGTGTGCCATTTTCTCTCTTTCCCTCTCTTTCCTTCCCCCCTCTCGATGTCCGTGTGTCTCTCCCTTCCTGTTGCACGTCCCCCCCCCCCCCCCCCAGCCATCGCTTGTACATATTCCAAGGGCACACACTCCTTCCCAGCAGTGGCCCGCCTCCTCGCCCTTTTCCCGATATGCACCTCGCCGCATGCCGCCGCGCGCGCATATTCCCCATGTCCTTGAGCAGCAATATATCCCCCCCCCCCCCCCCCCCCCCCCCCCCCCCCCCCCCCCCTGTTTTGGTGCCTTGTGCGCGGGTGAGTGCGGGATGGCACTGTTTCTGGGACATCAGAACGTCACGTCACATGCCCCGCTCCGGCATGACCCAGACTTTGCTCGTTGGCGTGCAATGCTTGTCGGGTGGCTCATCAGAGTGGGGGACTCAGGGGGAGGGGGGCGTGTGCGGCGGCTGAAAGTGTGTCCCCGCCCCTTGCCACCTCCACAACAAGCGGGCCGCGCCCGGCCGAAGGTGGCAAGCCTCCGCGGTAGGCGGCGAGGGGGCGGCCTTGCGCGCGGCCAGATCGCCTGGCCGAGACCCCGGCCGGGGTCCTCCTGAACGCAATCAGATGCTCGCATCAGGCCTCAGCCCCGTCCTCCCCCCCCCCCCCCCCCCCCCGCCCCCTTCTCCGCCGCCAGTCAGGCGAAGGGGGCGCGCATTGCCTTTCAGGCGGGGCCGGGGCTCGCGGGGCCGGGCCCGGGGCGCCACACACTGGTGCGCCCGCCGGCCGGTGATGCGTTTCGACATTCTTCACGCTCCGGCTCCTGGCGGGAGAGCCTTCTTCTCGCCGGGCCCCTGCGGCCAGGGCTGGCCCGGGGCGGCGGCCGGCCGTCGAGCGGACAAGTCTTCCCCTGGGCCGGCTGCTGGGCCCGCCCCTGGCAAGCCCAATCTCCAGTATGCAGGTGCATCTGTGTCGGTGTGTGCGTACATACGTGTTTCAGGTCCGATGGAGCGTGCTTCCCGAATGTACCCCGTTCCACCGCCCCTTTGGGTGCCCCCCCCCCCCCGCCCCCCCGGTGAAACCGCCCCTGCCGTTGCTAGCTGCGCAGGAGATGGAGACGGCGGTCTCAGCGGTGATGTGTTTGGTCGAGGGATTTCCCCTCGCCACGCCAGAAGCACGGTCTGCCCGCCGGGGGGGGGGGGGCGAGAACCGGACGACGCGTTGCAGGAGAGCCGGGAAAAGGCCGGGGACAATCCCCTTGCCGTTGTTTATTTTCCGCGGTGGCGGGTCTGAATGACGGTGCGGCGGTGGTTTCTCCCACGAATTCCTTCCGCCAGGAGGTATGTTTGCCGCTCGCTCCCCCCCTCCCCCCCCGTTCCGTCCCCTCGCCCAGCCTTCAGCGGGGGGGTGGGGGCTGAGGCGGCCGGGGGCGATCTCACGCGCCCGGGGCCGGACCCCGGAAAGCGAGCCCCCAAGGGACTTGCCTGATTGAACCAACTTCCCCCCTCCCCCGGGGGGGGACGGGGGGGAATGCGCGGGGCTGTCTCCCGAGGACCTGCACTAATGCCGGGCGCCAGAAACTCCAAGCTCACACGGCCCTGGGGCGCGGCGCGGCCAGGCACACTCACACAAGCACTTGCAGACACAGAGCCGGCCGTGCCATCAAAACTGGCCCCAGGCCGGACGGCGGCGCTGGGGCACACGCGTTGACACTCCTCTCCCCCCCCCCCCCTCCTCCCTCGCCTCTTCGCCCGCCTTGCCGGCCCCTCCCTCC